TTTAAATTCCAATAACAATAATAATTATTTTTAAGAAAACTTATTTTATGATTTATATATTATATTACATGAATAAGAGAATATTTGTCAAGAAATGTATTAAACTTGTATTAGCAGATTCATGCTATCCTAGATTAGTTTGTTTGACGCTAAAATGATTAGTTTTGTTTTCAACAACCACATTACCATTTCAATTATATACCACAAGCAGTGATTAAATTTTGGAATAATTAGTTTTAAATAATAACGGGCAATTTAAGGCGTAATTTATCGGATGCACAATGACAAAATACTACTATTAGATCTGCATTTGGAATAAATATTTTGCACTCTTTCAACTCATTAGACATTACAACACTGATATAATTAATCGCAAAGCTTAAACGTTTAAATACTTACTCACTACATTTATAACAGTTCAAAGTGCATGAGAATAATCTGCATTAAAATGAACAAAATATATTTCAATCAGTAGTAATTGTTAAACATTTTCAGTTACTTACCTGCGCTATACAACCAACATGCATTCAGCCATGTTTTTTTTCTGCGCACTAGCTTTCAAACACTTTTCTCCTGATTGGCTAATTTCCAGTCAGTCACGTGATTCTTCCGCGCGGCTTAATGACAACATTATCTGTAATGCTTACAGGCAAATCAGCTGTGCCCGGCTACAGTTTGCTTTCAAACTGTTCCCATTACAGGAAATTCTTGTGTAACTTTTTGATTTCTGTAACTTTACAAAACTTTTGCCTGTAAAGAGCGAACTTTTTTTTACAGTGTAGATAAAGTCAAAGGGGTGCGCAGTGCCATTTTTGTGCAACTCTGGAATTTTTTTTTTTTTTTTTAAGTGAAAATAGGTCGATGTGCACATGGATACCGAGTATGTGCAATTCCTAAAAACGCGTCAAGCAGTGAGTGATTCTGCACTTTACCCAATTTTCTATTGCCGACTTTTCATAATGGGCAATTCCCAAATTGTTAAATCCATAGGTTATCAAAAAAGGATTTAAAAATTAAACTAGCATTTCAATAGCGTCTTAAGAAATATAGAACTATATAAACTTGCGCAATCCGAAATCAGCGCGCACGCTAGATTTGGTGCGCTGTTAAATGGGCGCGTATGCTAGATTTGGCGCTTTCGCGCTTACATTTTCGCTGCAATTTTTTTTACGGCCCTCAAAACGAGGCGTACCAAAAATCCTTACTTGGAGAAGAAATTTACTTATCTACGCACCACGATTATTCAGTTTGTTTTCAGGAAAGGAAAGTCTTTGTGTGAGAAACGGCATTAGAGCGTTAATAAAATAAGAGTAGACATATATACAAGGGAGAATAAAGCTATTAATAAACAATTTCAAGTATCATATTGTTGCATTCTACGGGTTCGTGTTTTTGGAGCAACTGGCGATAACACTTGATGAAGATTCAAAATACAATTTATTCGTCAAAATTACGCAGAAGAGTTCCAAAGACGCGATTACAGTTGTCGATAAACTACGATAAACACGCTGAAACGATCAGCAACGCAGCCTTGAAGCTACAACGGTAAGACAGCTTAACGGCAAAGCACTAAAGTGCAACTCTAGACATGATTCGGTCGGTGTCAAACTAATCTCTGAAATCAAAGCACTAGGCAGGGTATATATAGCTTTAACCTACTTTCGAGAACATCCCCCCCCCAAAAAAACGCTTTCTTGAATGTTATCGCTCCGTCTATGGCATACCGACAATTTTGTTGCCAAATGTCGATAAACGGGCCATATCGCGCCAAATATGGCAACCTTATCATTCCCTGACATTTTTCTGGCGGGGAAGCTATCTCACCGCAGCAGGGCTTTCGCAACGATACTTAACAGCGGGTAAACTTCCGGTGGGCATATTTCTCAAGTCCACATCTGTGTAGCCACCGTGGGAGTGGCTTCTAGGATGGACCAATGAGGATGCAATAATATTTCTGTCGTGTCGCATGACCTTTCGCGTGCTTTAAGATTTAAGCAAGATGGTTGAAAATATTCTGCAACGCAATTTTCTGTACAAAATAATTAAAGCATCGCCGACTGCTTTTGAAACTTTTCATTGCGAATTTAGATCAAATATAGGCAATTATGATGATTTCACTACCTGGTTGAAATAAATACAAACACATGTTGAATACTTCGCAAAAATATCGATGTGAAATATTACTTAATAAGTGGTAAATAAGATGAAGAAAGGAATATGTGATAAACCTCTGAGCCCAAATGCAATCTTTACATAAAACTATGCGTTATTTACACCAATTATATATGTAAATAGAAGTCAGCATTTTTTATTGCAGTCTATATGAAAAAGATGCTCTATAATAATAACCAATGTAGAATTTTATTCTGTAAGTAAAGTGAACTTTACTATTTACATTCGTATACATTAATGTGTTAAATTTCACATTAAATAAATACTCACTCTGAAATGTACTGTTTACACAAGAAATACTCATCGAACAGAATTTTCGTATTCACATTTCGTATTTGCATTTTCGTATTCACAATGAGCATATTCAATTTATTTACATATACAATTTTTAATGTTAACAGTGGATATAATCATATCATACTTGTTCTGAATCTGACACTTTAAAAATCAAAAGAATGCAAGCACTGAAATAAAAAAACACTAGATTTATTGTAACACTTTCAGTCATCTCAGCTCAATTAAAAAGATATACACTTGAATTCTTCTTAATCCACATAATATGCCGTGAACATTAATCTTAATATTCATGCGTGATGAAAATCGCGAAAGTGAAATATCAGCGATCAATTAAACTCAGAAAACGAAAGCACTAAAAGATTTCTACTATTACGCCATATATTTATAACTGCGAAACAAATGCAAATTAAAACGCAAACAACATATGCTCACATGCACGAAGATTTAGCGTCACAAGAGCAATAGCAGCTCATTGGTTCATATTCGAAACCCCTCCCTCAGTGGCTACGCTGATGTGCACTTGTGAAATATGCGTACGGTAAGACAGCTTAACAGCAAAGCACTAAAGTGCAACTCCCGATTGGTTCGGTCGCTGTCAAACTAATCTCTGAAATCAAAGCACCAGGCAGGTTATATAGAGCTTTCACCTAACTTCGAGAACATTCCCGAAAAGAAAACCGCTTTCTAGAATGTTATCGCTCCGTCTATGGCATACCGACAATTGTGTCGCCAAATGTCGATAAACGGGCCATTTCGCGCCAAATATAGCAACCCTGTCATTCCCTGCCATTTTTCTGGCGGGAAAGCTATTTCACCCCAGCAGGGCTTTCGCAAGAATACTTAACAGCCGGTAAACTTCCGGTGGAGGATACATTTATTTTTTTTTTTTTTATTTATCAATTAAACCTCTTAAGTTAATATCGCATTCCCCAAAATTAATCTTACATGTATAAAATGCTATTTGTGTCAGTTGATATTTCATAGATGTTTTAAAACTGCAAAATATTTCACCTTCTTTTCTTACCACAATGTTTTGTAGCTGCTTATTCAGGAGATGTGATTGAATGATTGGACGCGCAACAATATTATGTGTGTGTAATGAATTTTTCTTACATTTGTGTCTCCAAATCTTGACGTAAAATAAAGAGCAGTCATCCAAGGCCATGTGTCAGCGGCGTGTCCGCCAGTAATCGGGTTTTCTCCATCTGCTATTGTACGATGTTTAGGTCGCAAACCACAACGAGAATAATCTGAAATATCAAATATATTTTGTCATAAATTTCTCACAGTTAAAAATTCCATTTTGTATTATTTTGTTTGACTATTTATTTAGCACTCTGTTGTAGAATGGCTTAATGACATTTTATTATTATTATTTATTTTTTTTACGGAAATCCTCTTATGTGAAATTTCATCCAAGATTGCAATGAAAAAAAGGTATAAAAAGTGAATACCTTAGTCCTGCCCCCCCCCGAACATGAGCACCTGGAAGCCCGCATTTTCAATTTCGAATTTGTTCTGTTATTTATTTCACATTTTGTGAAATTTTTTGTAAACCAGTTTTTTGATTAACAAACTTAACGATTTCAAAGCGGAATAAAATATTTTTATCTCCTGCGCGCGAGACTCTCTATCGAAAATTCTAATGACAGAGTGCTTTTAAATATTTTGTGATTTTGCAGTTGAATTTTATGTTACGTAAGCACCAAGAACTTGATATTTAGGTACAGTACAACTCCAATTATCCGAACTCCGACTATCCGAATCGCTCTCAAAATTTAAGAAAAAATTTCAGACCGGGTGGTACGACGAAAATTTTATCCCTGAAGTGAAAAAGTACCGAAAATCGCTTGGAAAAGAAGGCAGTAAATTGCTTTTGAGTGCTGATAATGCACCAACTTACCCCACAGGAGAATTTTTGGAAAGAGAGAATGGCAGTTTGCAGCAATCTTTCTACCGCCAAGCATCACAACCTTGTTACAACCAATGGACCAGTCTGTGATCGAAGTCATGAAAGCCATTGCAGATATGATATGATATAAGGGACGCAGCCCGACCCTCCTGGCAGACTTTACGTCGCCCTACGGCCTTTTTGCGGGCAAGCTAGAAACAACACCTTCAAACAAACAGACATAAAGAACATAACTAAAACAAAATTAAAATTAAAATCCCTACTGGAAGCTTATCATGATTAATCTTCTTCATCATTTTCCTGGCAAATTTTTTCAGTCTTTTAAAATCATTTAAAATATCATATATATTAAAAACGTCATTTTTCTTAAACTCGTTCCTGATTATCAGTAAAATATTTACATGTTTCCACATAATGCTCCGCAGTGCCCGGTTCTTTACAAATATCACAGAGGTCAGACTCTTGTAATTTAAACCTTTTAAAATAGAAAGGAAAACGGCCATGACCTGTAACAATTTGGTTAACGTCAATGTCTGCATAACACAAACCTTTTCTAAGTTTAATAAATTTCATATAACCTTTATTTCGATCAGACCTTTCCCACTCCTCCCTCCATTTATCATAAATAATAATTTTTCATAATAGTCACAGCTTGCCTTTTTGATCCCTGTACATCAACATCGCGAGCATTAACATCGGTCATTGCCTCCTTGGCCAGTGCGTCCGCCCTCTCCTTTCCAAAATGTCCAACGTGTGCCTTCACCCAATTAAACACAATATTTTGATCTTCTCTCAAGTCTTTATATAATTCTCTAATATATACCGTTAAAGGGTTGTCTTGATCAGGTCGTGAGAGAGCTTGAAGAACTGTCAGACTGTCAGAATAAATATGTACATCATATTTCCCTTTGAGAGTCTTCTTAATCCATTTCAGTGAATAAAAAATAGCCATAGCTTCCCCTTGATAAACTGAGTTATAAATATTGAGTTTATCATTCTCAGTCTCTGTTCCATAATAATATATAACATATGCGAAAGCAATGGCGTCTTCCAGACCTGACCCGTCTATATAAATGTCAATTTCTCCTATTTTTGGAGCATCCAAATAATACGGAATAAAAATTCTTTCAGCAGGGTGAAGCAAATTTAAATCAAATCTTTCAAAAGCACATCGTGTTACAATAGAATCTCCGTATAATTTAAAATCAATATTTACTGTTCTTAAACGAAATTTATCACAATAAAAAACAAATAGTTTGGAGAGAGGGGGCACACCGGCCAGGATACAAACAACCTCGGTAGAGGTCGTTCTCAAACATGTCGTAAGCATTAGTAACCAAGCTCTCTGCATTGTGTCCAGTGTCATACAAGCCATTACAGATGAAAACTTTTAAGGAAACTTTTGATTCTGCACGCTGGGCCGGTATTTCAGAGGTCTTTGGTTCAATTCCCGGCGAAGGCGGTTGCTAAATTTTCATCTCTCCGGCTTTTCCAATTATCCTAATGTCGCTACAGTGGCGCCCCAACTAAAAGGGTGTTGGATGATGATTCTCCTCACACAGGATTTTGCCACTGGGTTCCTTACATACCCCAGTCGCCCTTTAAAAAAGGGGAGTATATAAGGTGTTTCTCCCGCCTTTTTAGCGTACCTTCGCGGTTTAGTGGTTTGCACACTGGGCTGGTATTCCAGAGGTCCATGGTTCGATTCCCAGCGAAGGCGGTTGCTCATTTTTCATCTTTCCTGCTTCCCCCCCAAAAAACACCTAATGTCTCTACAGAGAAAATTATGCCAATAGTTCATAAGGCTGGTTGTTTCTGACAGGATGTGCGGAAGTGTCATTTATTCTGCATAACTTGTGTGTGTTCGAAAATTTCATGTTCTTGCAGGGATGATGCGTACAAATGCCACGTGAGCGGAGCCACCATGTGTCCAAGTGTCGCATCTCCTTTTCTAAGAGTAAAAGTATATCAAGACAAACGAATCAAAATACTTAAGAATCTTTCTCTTCTCAGCCGTGGTTTTTGCAACGCGGATCTTCTCAACGTGCTCAACCATACTGTTCAGAATTTTTTTGATTTTAGGATCTTGGATCCAGTTTATGATATCCTTGTACTCTGTGGGTGTTGTTTTCCAATTTTTTTTCTTTACTCTATCACTGTAGAGAGGTTTCATCTGGGTTTCACTGCTGTCTTCCTCTGTTCATGAATTTTGAAAATCTGCCGGCGTAGGATCTTAGCTGCTGGCTTCGCCTGCTGCTGCTCTTTGCTTCATATCGCTTCTGTACACGGGCAACCCTGTTAACTTGCATGCGGTAGTGAGCAGAATGCTCTTAGGTTTTTCTTCTGGCTTTACAGAGCATTCTTTCTTATGTGCTGTCCACACTTGCAGCATCGTCAGGATTTGAGCAAGATGTTGCGAATGTCCATATCTGCCTGATTATTTCTTCCTTCCTCGTCGATGGGAGCCCTTAAGAACAACCTTAATAGGTTTTTCGCTGAGTAACTGGAAAGTATAAACTGGTATATTCTTTTTGCAAACCAGAGTTGCTTTTTTGAATCGTCTACTGACTTTAAATTAACATATAGTAGTTTCATTTTCATATCGGCTTCGAATTCTTCACTGCAGGTCTTGATAAGGATTTCATGAATTTTAGGGCCAATCCACTTCGCTTTGCTGGAAAACTATTGGGGGTGGGGTTTCCTCTTTTTCGGCTCGTCCTTCTTCTTCCATATCCTTCTACTTCACTTAGATGCTCAAATCGATTTTCCGTCGTAGCTTCCATTGCAGCTTCGTTTCCTGATACTTTCGCGGTTTTCTTAGGAGAAATCCGTTCTTGTTCCCTGCTCTCTGTTCCTCTTTCAATTATCTGCGATGGATAAAATTTTTTCGTGAATGTCTCTAAATCCATCTCACCCTTAGTTCTTTTATGAAAGTAATTGCAATTAGTCAAATCCAAATTTCGCGCATCTGGTCCCGGATTTCTTCTTTTCCGAACATGACTGAATTTGGGATGTCCTCACCCTTTCACATTGATAATTTTTGGTGTCTGTTCGTCAGTAGCTTCTCCATTCGGGTTTGAATTTCTCTTTTTTCCTTACCAGTTTTAACATCTTTCTTTCTGTGGGTTTCGCTTTTCGTTCCTGACTAGTTTTCGCCTTTTTTGCTTTACTTTTCTTTTCTTGGCCATAAGGATCAAATCCTCTTTCTTCAATGGATAGGTCTTGTTGGATTTGGACGAATGCTCGCTTCGCTAATCCTCTTCATCAGAACTATCGAGTGGTGTCTTATAAAAGGACATTTAATCGAATTGAGAGATTTTCCTCCTTTTTATATGATTTTAAATCGCGCGCGCGAGAAATTTCTGGAACTTTCTTTCTCGAAATCAGAAAGATATATTTATTTATTAAATGTGAAATGCACGTGCTCTTGTATTTTTAATTTTCCGGCTTAGCTTTCCTTCAATATTCGTCACGTGCTGCACTGCACGGGGAATAAAACAATTTAATTTATAATTCAACTAACGATTGCTATTTAAGTACCAAATCCGTAACAATATTAACATTTATATATACATATAAATTACCGAAAATCATTTCAGAAAGAAGGAAGAACACTTACGACGACAGAGTGGTCTTGGTGCACTCCAGTTACCAGTGGGGAAACAAACGAGAGTATCTATCCCAACTAATTCAAAACCTTCTTTACAGGAATACTTCAGAACATTTCCGACGAAACAACAATTTCCTTTCCTTGCACCATCCACGGAGACTCCAGGATCAGGACAGGACTTCTTCTCTGTCAGAAGTAAAAATGCTAGTGTTGGACATTTCAAAAATCAACTTAAACTGTGTTCTACATATCTTTGAAATCAGTGAAATCCGTATTCTACAGAAGAACAGATAAGGAACTCAGATAAGATGCTCAGATAAAGAACATGGAAATTCTCACAACGGCTATCTGCTTAAGGAAAAGAACGGCTTCGTGGAGGACCTTCTGACTCCTATACGGAACTTAACTGCTTTAAATATTAATATCTGCTTCAATAAACACAGTCAGGTAACTTGTCACCTCGTCTTAATCATTCAATGAAATAACACCAACATTGAAGAAAAATCAAGATAAACCATTTTCATTAGCTCGTGAGCCTAATAGCACACATCATGAGTAATAACAGAAATTTAACTCTGCAGCTTGTAGAAAGAGCAGAACAAGCTTAAGTTCATTTTAAACTATGTTCAGTTCATTTTAAAATATGAAAATTAACGCGACAAAGATCGCCTACAAAATTTTGGCTCAGACCCCTTGTTTGCCTGAGCAGTTGCGGCTAACAAACCTGTCAACGATAGCTATCACAAACTCTTCCTCATACTTAATAACTTTTAGCTTAAATATATTAACTAATTAGCATCTAGGTATAAATTAATTACGGGAGGGAAGCTGAGCAAATGTTAAGTGACAGTAAAGGCAAAAATATGAGATAACTAGTGTATAAGGTATTTCTCCCACTTCCCTAGCGAGCCTTCGTGGTGTAGTGGTTCTGCACACTGAGCCGGTATTCCAGAGGTCCGTGTTTCGATTCCCGGCGAAGGCGGTTGCTAAATTTTCATCTCTCCGGCTTTTCCAATTATCCTAATGTCGCTACAGTGGCGCCCCAACTAAAAGGGTGTTGGATGATGATGATTCTCCTCACACAGGATTTTGCCACTGGGTTCCCTAAATACCCCAGTCGCCCTTTAAAAATGGGGGAGTATATAAGGTGTTTCTCCCGCCCTTTTGCGTACCTTCGCGGTTTAGTGTTTGCAACTGGGCTGGTATTCCAGAGGTCCATGGTTCGATCCCGTTAAGGCAATTGCTCATTTTTCATCTTTCCTGCTTCCCCCCCCAAAAAAAAAACCTAATGTCTCTACAACAAATTGCCAATAGAAATAAGGCTGGTTTCTGCAGGATGTGCGGATGTCATTTATTGTGCATAACTTGTGTGTGTTCGAAAATTTCATGTTCTTGCAGGATGATGCGTACAAATGCCACTTGAGCGAAGCCACCATTGTCCCAAGGTACATCACCTTTCTAGAGTAACCTATATAAGACAAACGAATCAAAATCTTAAGAATCTTTCCGCATGCAATCTGAAAAGGTGAGGACTGCTACAGGTATTTTCAGTAAAGTATCTCCGCTTAATAGAATCAGTCTGCTCGCGGCTTTTTGGTAACTTTAAACGAAAAGAAAAAGATATCTTCAAATTAGGAATAAATTAACATTTAACAGTAGAAACATATTAATACTTATTTTCACACATTTTAACTACGGTATATCAGAGGGCTGATCTCTATTAGATAAGCCCTTCTGATATCGCTAGGACTAAAGTCATACATTACGATAGGCTAGCCCCTATATGGCCATAGTGTAGGGCCTAATTATGACTTTAGTCCTAATAAATAGAGGATAATTTTTCTGAAGTGATGAAAATTTTGTGATGGAAACGTTCTATTATGAAAAGCATGATTCATAGTTCTCTACTATGAATACATTATGAGAAAGATCATCATATTTTACTTAAATATAGTTTATTTACATTTTAAGCATTAATTTAAAAAATTAATTATGTTAAAAACCCTTTTTAATTTTTAATGTTAGACTGCGTTAGAGATGAGTATTTTATAGAGCTTCTTATAATGAAACGCACTTCATATAACTGAACACACTATTGATATTAGTGTTATCATTCTTTGACAAGTTAAAATTTAGAGCTGATCTACATTGGGTACATGGTATTATATTGTTGCGTGCGTACTTGTTCGCAATCGCTGAATGCACAACCCGATAAAGGTTAATAAATTCATTCTTATGAAATGGCAGAACGGGGATTTTCCTCAGACTTTCGTTTCACATATCACGCAGTTAATCAGTAGTTATACTTCAGACTAATCCGTGTTAAATACACGCAATGAAAG